ACCAGGCTTCTAGATGTGTATGACACGGCTTATGCCAGATCTTGGCAGGTGGATCAGAACTAGAGGTGGTTGGGAATTTTTTTGGGTCCAGATATGCCATTTTGACAATACTGAAATTTTCTGTGAAATCAACATGATTTTGACAATTTGGTTTAGAAAAAGGTAATCCAGGATGTGTTGATGCTTTCAATGTGTTTTTCTGACTTTTGAGAACAAAAAGGGGCTGGGTTTTTTAATGACTCTTTTGAGATGCACCTTATTTTATTTTGTTTTAAAATTTAACGGTCACAATTGAAACAAAACATGGTTTGGAATTTGGTTTCACAAAAAAATGTGCCCCAGTTCAGGCTGAAAAAAATCCCAATCTTGAAGCTTTTTATGAGATTAAAAAAAAAATCCATTCTGCCTGCTCTAGTCAGAACCAAGTCCCCAGACCCAAACAACCTGACTCTTTTTTTGCAGAAGTAGAACAGTTCAGATCTGGATTGCCATTTACCCTTTGCTGCTCCTGCAATGATGTATTACTCTTGTGAACTCCTGGACTCGGTCATATTATTAAGAGACTAAATGTTTTTGTTGGCTGATTTAAAAAATGCAATTTCTGGTAAAATGACTTCAGTCTTGATTGTTGTACAGAAGAAATGAGGGAAGGAGTTGAAAATAGGGTTGCCAATTTTCTAATTGCACAAAACTGAACACCCTTCCCCAAGGCCCCACCCCTTCACTCCATTGCTTGCTCTCCCCCACCCTCACTCCATTTCACTGAGCTGGAGCAGGGGGTTGGGATGTGGGAGGGGGGTGAGGGCTCCAGCTGGGGGTGCAGGCTCTGGGGTGGGGCTGGGGATGAGGGGTTTGGAGTGTGGGAGGAGGCTCAGGGCTGGTGCAGGCTCTGGGAGGGGGCTCAGGGCTGGAGGAGAGGGTTGAGGTGTGGGAGGGAGTTAGGGTGCAGGAGGGGGTTCAAGGTGCAGGCTCTGGCTGGGTGGCGCTTACCTCAGGCAGCTCCCAGTCAGCACTGCAGCAGGGCTAAGGCCAGCTGCCTGCCTGAAGTGATTTGCCCAAAATCACACATTGAGCCAATTGCAGAGCTGGGGATTAAATTTAGATTTCCAGAGACTCAGTCCAGGCTTTTAACCACCCTTCCTCTCTAGTGTGTTCTGCATTTCCCTGTATTAGCAGGTGAAGGAAACTAGCCTACAACTGCTACCAGCTAGAGGACTTGCGCCTCTAGCTCATGTGGCAGAGACTTGTGCCTTCAGCACTGGAAGGTGCAAATTCAATCCCTGGTGATGCATGATGGCAGGTCTTACAGTGCTGTGCCCAAAAACTCTGTTCTCCATGGAAGCCGCTAACATTGTCCCTTGTCATAACCTGGCCAAACTCTGGTACTTGCAGAGGGCCTGATTCTCCTCTTGCTAGAGGTAAACAGTGGTGTTACAGTGGTGTGAGTGAGAGGAGTGGAGACCTGGGGCTCAGAGCATCTAGCCAACCCATCTGGTCTCTAAAAGGATCAGAGAATGGCAAGGTGTACAAAGCACACGACCACAATGAACTCTGCTCATAGCAGGGGTGGCAGAGGGAGGATCCCAAGTTAAAAGGCTGTGAGACCTAGTGAAAGAGCACTAGACTAGAATGCGGGAGATGTGGATTTTGTTCCCATCTCTGCCTGTTGGGACTAGTACAAGGTCGGCCTGCCCAGTGCCTCAGTTTCCTCATGTATAAAATGGGGGTAATTGCACTGACCATCTTTGTAAAATGACTTGAAGTCTCCAGCTAGAGCTACCTAGGTATTAAAATAGCCCCTTTTCGAGTCACCGGCATGCTCGCAAAGAAGAGACAGTGGTGAACTTTTCTGTGGCAGCGCTTCTACCTTTGCCCATCTCTTAAATGATCATCCCTACCTAATGCCGTTGGGTCGAAAACAACCAGTCGCGCCCTTGAGCAGCACGTCAGCCCAGTCCAAGTAAGAGCAGTGCAGCAAAAGTTCAATGACTGCCTCTATTTCTGTCTGCAGAGCCCTGATCGGGCCCTGGCGGCTGCAAATGTAGTGGAGGTGGCTAAAATCCAGTCTCAGAATAACTACAGCTTTTCTCCTAAAGCCAAGCCCCTTCCAGCGGGTGAGCTTTGAGTTCTCTCTCCCCGCCAGGCACAGTTAAACAGCACAGTAATAGCTCCTTGGGTTTGACCTAAGTAACGTCCCTGATGTCTGGGAGCTGTGAAATGTCATTATCTTTGCAGGTAATTTCCCGTTTTTCCTAGGCGGCTTTGCTCTCCCAGACAGCAGAGACCAGAGAATCAAATTAGCCTGCTTCTTATGTGCCCCTTGTCTAGGTTTTGAGGTCCTCTGCTTTAGCCTTGGTTTTCAGACATGAGGCAGTTTGTTAGAGGAGAGGGTAGAGATTTGCAGTGGATACACACTTTCATGGTATAAGCCAAATGCTGAGGGGTGGCAGGGTTCAGAAGTAATCTCTCCTGTGGGTAGCACTTATTCCATAAGGGTCAATCTCATGGAGAATCCTGGGAGCTACTGGGGCTTGAGCTTTTGTGGAAAATCTGACCTATTGGGGCTGCTGGCACTTTCTGACAGTGGCGAGCAGCAGATGCATCAGAGGAGAGTGGGGTACTGGGCTAAATGGACCTGGTCAGACCTCGTATCCTTGTTGCTGTCCGGCTACGGCTGTCTGCACTACAGAGCCTGTCGGGATAGCCCCCAGTGTAGACACCGCATGTGCTGATAGCAGTTCTGCCAGTGTAGGATCAGCACCTCCCTTGAAAGACATTGGCTATGCCAGAGATGACTGGTACCTGCTGACAGAGCAGGGGTGGGGTGCAATTTAAAGGTTCCCCCAAACAGCTTGAGCTACCCCCCCAAGGCACATCCCACCTCTTACCCTCAGCAGCCCCTCCCTGCAGCTCCTAGCTGTTTGCTGCTTCTCCCCACAGCCACGGCTTGCAGCTCACCAGCTCTGGGAGCTGCAGCACAAGGGAGGGGATCTGGCTGGCAAACCCTGACAGAAATTGGAGGGGAGCATGCTGTGACCCTGCATGTCCCCCCCCACACATCCGCTCTGGGCTATGCCAACAGAAGCCCTGTTCTACTGCCCTAGCTGTGTCTCCACTGGGAGTTTTGTTGGCATAGCTGTGTCACTAGGGAGTGGGTTTACCCACACAGCCATGCTGATGCAAGTTTAAGAGCTGGTCTACACCTAAAATGTACATCAGCCAAGCCACATGGTTCAGGGCCGTTGAGGGGGTGGATTTATTACCAGGATGGGAAACCCTCTTCCGTCATTGTAGCAAGTGTCTACGCTACAGTGAAATAGCCCTACCCCTGCAGCTGAGCTGGGCATGTGGACGTGCCCGAAGTGGAGAGCAGGCCTGCATCTTCCACTCCTCAGTCTCTGCGAATTCTGTTCCCAGACTCAGCCTAGAATGCTAACAAAATCAAGCATCTAAGCCCTTCAAGCGGTCTCCATATATGTTGAAAAATACCTTCAAAGCAGGGTGCTTTCCCACTGTGCCATGCCACTGCTGAATGTGGCCCCCTGTGGGAATGAGCCCTGGACATCCAGATTAAAAAGGGCTAGCATCTACTGAGTGTGGGGACAATAGCAAACCATCCTCTTTACCTGGTCTGACCACTGGAGGATGACAATAGCGCCTGCTCTGTTAACATGGATCACTTTGAAATCCTGAAGGGCGAGGTGTTGGTTCCATCTCGGCTGATCTCAAAGGGGAAGAGGGCAGCTCCACTGAAGAAGCTTACCCTCATCTAGTGCCCTAGAAATGCTGACCACTTCCCTAACAATGGCTCTTCCATAGAGTCCTGAACTCAGACCCTAGTCATGCCGCCGTTTCCTTATGTCAAATAGGAACAATACGTGATTGCCTTTGCCAAGTGTTTTGAGAGTACTGTGTTTGTTGCAAACGCTGCAATTTTCCTTTGAATGAGAAACCTTCCAGACATTAATATTTCAGGTGTGTTTCCGGCAAGCCTCAAGTTTCTTCCCCTTTTGTTGCAGTTGGGTTCTCTTGTTGCTAAATTGTATTGTTCTTTGGAGGATCAACAGTGTTTCCTCTTGACTAGCTTGGGTGTGAAATTGAAGGTGGGATACAGTCAGAGAATTCAGCCCTCCTGAAAGTCTGTTTCCTTCTCTTTCCAAGCACAGAATCTGCTGCTTTTCTAGCAATGAATCTTAGGAACCAGAGTCTCTGCCCAGGCGGGGGGGTGTGTGTGTGTTGCTAATGGAGATTTTCTTAACAGTGGCAGTGTTCTGTTGTCACACACCTTGGAACCATCCGTGTTTGGACTTGCCCCAGGCAATGTGGAAGGGAGACTTAGCTGCCTCTGCAGCACTATCCTCCCCTCCCCTATTCCCCAGCTTGCAGATAGCCCTGTATGGTCCATGCAAGTGTAGGGGGTGGGCCATAGGGCCATGACATCCTTCTGGGGAATACATTGAGAAGGGAGTACAGTCTGAGGCTCTCCATAACCTCCTGGAATCCCCTCGGCACTGAGGAACCCCATTAAGGAGTGTGCCAGGCAGCAGTGGGCAGGAGAACCCCAGGCAGCATGACTCTGAGGGAGCTGGCCTGCCAGGGAGAGGCTCCAGAGCTTGGAGTAGAGGCACCAGGTCTCCACCCAGACAGCACTGGCCTCTAGTGGATCTGAGAACTCCGTGGGCCTTTTCTGTGGGGGTACCACACTGGCTGTGCCAGAGATCCTCACTCTTCCAACAGAAGGACTGGGGGAGCCCTCCTGAATTTGCCCCCAGGACTCCCCTCCTCTTAGTGTGTGGTGTGTGTGGTTTTTTTGCTTGAGCCCAATGTGTTCTTGGCTAGAGTAACTCACACTGGGTCCAGTTCTAAGCACCCCAAACCATGTGGCAAGGTCAGTGTCTGAGCCTGACACTGCCATGGCCAGGGACCCACTTCTGCTTCCTTGTGATCCTAAATACCCCCTCCTTCCTGTGCCGCTCACAGTCTTTTCTTCCTCCTTTGCAGGCAAGTTTCGTTCCTGTAGCCCTGACCCCCCTGGGGCACTGGAGGTCCTGATCACAAGAAGCATCTGAATCAGCCAATCTCATGTGGAGGCGGCAGTTCTCCCACATGCTCCGAGGTACCAAACCCTTTCCATTGCATCTGATTTTTCAAAGACCTCTAAAGATGTTTGTGGTTCTGCTAAGTCTTAAATCCCCATAGATCCTTCCTGGGATTCGTTTTTCAGCATCAGCAAAACAGCTCTGCGTTTGCTCTTTTCAGGAACACCTCGCTCTTCAGAGATGCTCAACAAAGCACTCTTTTTGTGCGGTGCCATTCCCAGCTGGCTATCTGCTGCCCTAATTAGAGAGGGGGCCAGAGCCTCTAAGCTTGAGGGCCAGATCTGAGCATTCCCAAAGTTCAGAGCACCTAACATCTGGTCACAACTTCAGACACCGTGGGACTGAATGGAGTCCAGGATCTCTAGTACCACAGCTGTTAAGAGTGGTCCCCAGGTCTTTAAACATTAGATCGCCCAAGCTACATTGCTCAGGGCTGGCTTTTTACAAAATTCACACTCTGCATGACTGAGAGAGGTCAACCTAACCCCCAGTGTAGAAGCATTTAGGGTGACCTCCAGCTGGAGAGGTGGGTTAGCTAGGTTGATGATGGAAGAGGTTTTTCCAGTGCAAGAAGTGCCTACGCTATGGTGTTAGGATCATAGAATATCAGGGTTGGAAGGGACCTCAGGAGATCTAGTCCAACCCCCTGCTCAAAGCAGGACCAATCCCCAATTAAATCATCATCAGGATGGCACAGACCAGAGATGTTGGAACAGGGGGAACATGGCCCCATTATTTTTAAAAGGGGGAGGGCTCTGCCCTTCCACTTTTTACTTGCCGTAAGGGTGAGCAACAGGGGAGGTTGGCAGAGAGGAGCAAGTGGGGGTGGGGCCTTGGTGAAGGGGGTGGGGCCCCAGTTTGGGCCCCAGTGGTCCCCCACCTTTAGGGGGCTTCAGTCACTCCTGGCACAGACATACCCTAACTCTGGGTGAGACTGTTCTGAAACTAATCGCAGATAGCCAGGGGCTTGTTTTCAGACAGTGTTGAGCTCCCACCCGTCCAGTCCGAATCAAACGTCCTTTCTGTGATTTGCCAAGTGCCCAGTGCTGACTGGAGGGCAGGGCAGGAATGTTTGGTTTTGTGCAGTTAGAAAGTTGGCAGCCCTAATGTACACATGCTGGTCATCGATTAGAATTGAAACTGGGGCTTTTCACCAGGGCCGATGGGGGCAGGGGGTGCGAAAGCCGGTACAAATTACCAGGGCCCAGCGGTCCGGAAGGGGGCCCGGCTTCGTTGGCCATGTTTAGCGGGTCTGCCTTTGCTGGGTGGCCTGAAAAAACTTTTTCACCGGGGCCCGGACCCACTCTTGGCAGCCCTGCTTTTCACAGCCAAAAGCAGATGTTGCTCCCACTTGAACAGACAGTCTCTCCTTGAGTTGGGAGATGGTAGCTGGTTGTGTAGTTGCTGGGACCAAACACTAGATGGAGGTGTGGTGAGATGCCCTGTAAGTCTGATCTGGGCTCTTTCCATTGAACTTATTGGGGTTTGGGCCTGGCCCTAGAATCACAGTGCATGTGAATCCTCGCACTGACGTTGCATGATAGGCCTTAGGAATCTGGCATCTAAAGCACATATCTGCTTTTCCTTATAATGCTCAGAGCCCACTGGCAAGGGCAGTGCCAGGGATCCATGTGACTAAGTTATTAACCTGCAAGAACAGGTGGGTGGTGGTGAGCTAGGCTTCAGTGCCAGTGAGCCTCGTTCGATCACCTGCCAATCACCTCCGTTACCAGGGAGAGTCATGATCCCGCCTCTCAAACTGCAGCTGGCCAGGACATAGATATTGATCAATAGCAGGAGGGTGACGGAAACTCAATTAACTTTTAAGACTCTTTACACCTGGGGCAACACACAGCCCTGCTCTGATCCCTACAATAGGATAAAAATTAAGCCTGCTTAATGCAAACCAGCTCAGTTTTCTACCTGAAATCCAGAGGCAAAAGCTGCCTTTTAAACTTGATTAAAAAAAATTTTTTTTTGGTGCCACTTGAGACCCCTTACAGATGCCTGACTTTTCAGAGGACCAATGCTCAACCCTTTCTAAAATTTGGGGTCCCTTGGGGGGGGTGTGTGGTGGGGGGGGGGAGGGTCTTAGGCATCTAAAATCACCAGATGGCTTTGAAAACGTAGGCCCTAGTCTTTCAGTCTGGTCACTGAAAGTTTTATTCCCCCAATGACTCAAGCAGTGGGGATGGCTTTCATGATAGGACCCTTCTTCAGAAGCTATTTGAAATCTGCTCCGGTTTCTGCTCTTGGATGAGACCTCACCTGCCTCGCTGCTTGCCCGAAGCAGATGTGCTCGCTCGCGGGGTTTAATTTTTCTGTTTTGCCTTGGGTGGCCCTGGGAGTTTGCGATTCTTGGAAGAGACGCATGCAGAATATTATCACAAAGTTCGTTGCAAACCTTTGTTAAACTTCAGTGCCCCTGTGAGTCAGGGAGTCAAGGCTGGCTTTAAATGGCTTTCCCTAAAGTCCTCTAGCAAATTAGACCGGGTCGGAAATTGAGCCCTCAACTCCTGTGTGGGATCTAACTTGGCGATGCTAATTCACTAATTTACTTGTAGCTTGTTTCTGAGTGGCTAATGCTTGAATGCAGCCAGCTCTTGTGATGGGGGCACGGGACGCTATGGGTGGTGGAGTGAGAAAGGAGGGTTTGGGGCTAATAGGGAAGCAGAGCAGGGGAGGCGAAGTCCAGAGTTCTGCAACCCACTCTGACCTACTGCTGAGCTCTGGGCTGCATTCCTTATGTAGCTGGTCTGTTAGAAGTACTCCGCCTAGCCAGCAGGGAACCTGCAAGGGTGGGGTATATGTTGGTGGTGGGGTGGCTGCAGTGGAGACATGAGGGGATTTGGAGTTCTGTGTGGCATCATGGGAGGGTCCTGCCAACCCCTGGTGTTCAAAAATCCTAAGGCAGGGCCCTTGAAATCATGAGATTAGAAGCAGCCGAGCTCTGTTTTTAATGTGCTTTCTCTTGTTCTCAAGCACTCTCTAAAAGCTCAGTTTTGTTCGCAAGCTTGTCTCCATAACCACAAGGCCTAGAAATGTTTTTAAAACGAAAGCTGAGATTCTCACAGAATTGCATGGCTCCAGGAGCTGGGGCTTTAAGAAAAATCCCCAAATAGCAGAGGGCTTGTGAGAAAGCAGCAGCCCTGGGGTTGGGAGATGGGGAAGCTCTTTTCTATGGCGACGAACATTGGAAAGCTGCAGTGCTGCTAAGGGTTACCTGAATCTCACCTTTACTAGGTGTTCGTGTTGAGCTAGAGATGCTAAGCTAAGCTCTCAACTTCCTAGAACTATTGGTGAGGGGAATGTGGGTCGAAGGATGTGCTAGGATTGGGGTATCTAGTCAGGCCCTGCTAATGACCATAAGCGCCGACTCTGTGGGTGCTCTGGGGCTGGAGCACCCACAGGGAAAAATTGATGGGTGCTCTGCACCCCCCAGCAGCTCCCTGCCCCAGCCCCCAGCTTGCCTCCGCTCCGCCTCCTCCCCTGAGCGCACCGCCGAGTCCTGCTTCTCCCCCCCCCAGCACTTGCACCACGAAACAGCTCTTTCACGCAGGAAGCGACGCTCACTTGGGAAAGTGGCGGGGCCAGTGTGGGGATTTGGGGAGGGGTCCAATAGGGGTGGGGCTGAGGGCAAGCACCCACTGGTGCCAAGGAAAGTTGGTGTCTGTGCTAATGACTGAGATTTGGGTTGTGGTGGATAATCAGCTGAGCAGGAGCTCCCAGTGCAATGATGTAGCCGAAAACTTAAAAGGCCACTGAGATTCATTGGCTGAATAAACAGTGAAATCTGGAGTAGGAGTAGATAGGATTCCAGTCCCAAGTGACTAATATAAAGGGAATAACCTGTGTCCTGTCCTGGTGTCAACAGCTCAAGGAGGATGTCGATAAATCGGAGAGGGGTCAAAAAGAGCCATGCGAATGATTAAAGGATTGGCGCAAGCCTGATTTCTAGTGGCTAGTTCCTGGAGTCTCTTTAGCTTAACAAAGAGAAGGTTAAAGGGTTGCTTGATCTGTTTAAGTACCTACATGGAGAAGAAATATTTAATAGGCTCTGCAGTCTAGCAGACAAAGGTCTAACAAGATCCAATGGCTGGTAGATAAAGCTAGATACATTCAGACTGGAAATAGGCACACTTTCACTATTTATTTAGCAAGTTTGAACAAGTTTACAAATCCCTGCAAATATCAAATAAAACAATCATTAGAACAGTTTTTGTTTTAAAGATGCATTTTAGACACATGGTTGTCAGATCTTTCTGTTTAACAGGGTGTTACCATATTGGAGCGATGTTGTTGCTAGTGATTTTATTTAGTTGAGTGCAATCTTGATGTACGCTTTTAACAGACCAGGTAGGTCTGAAAAATGTTAGTCTTTAAAAAAAAAATTGGACAGGTATACTGGTTCTTTGGCAGGTGAATGTACTTTGTCTAACAAATTTATTAGAGCATAAGCTTTCGTGGACTACAGCCCACTTCTTTGGATGCATATGTAGTCCATGAAAGCTTTAACAAATTTATTAGAGCATAAGCTTTCGTGGACTACAGCCCACTTCTTTGGATGCATATGTAGTCCATGAAAGCTTATGCTCTAATAAATTTGTTAGTCTCTAAGGTGCCACAAGTACTCCTGTTCTTTTTGCAGATACAGACTAACGGCTGCTACTCTGAAACCTGTACTTTGTCTGTGAACCAAATAAAAGGGAACCAAATATCTAAGTATCTACCTGTCCTCTGTCTACTTTGCTTGGTATGTAAATGGTGTGTTAACTTTTCCATAATTTCCTTTTTGGTAGCTCAAACCCCCATTCCTCTGCTTCCTTTTCCTCCAGGGTGTTATATATGGATGCTTTTTATTAGGAAAGTGGTCTGCAAGGATTGACCAACTTTTTTCCTAAATGACCAGGTATTGTTGTTTCCATTAAAGTGAGCTTTCTGTAAAGTAGGTTTCTGAGAAGTTGAGGAACATAATGCCTGACTTGAAAGTACTGGTACCAGGGGATGGTGGGCCCAGGTAAAGTTAGTTTTGATCTCTACATTAGAAAAGTTTCTTTACTGAATAGCTGGCATAAGGTGTACATTTTAACAGGGAGGGTTATCAAGCATTGGAACAATTCACCAAGGGTTGCAGTGACTTCTCCATCACTATCAGTCTTTACATTCAGATTGAACTACTAAAGCATTTTAGAAAAACATCTACTCAGGAATTAATCCAGTGAAGTTCTCTGGGCTGTGTTGTTCAGGAGGTCAGACTAGATGATCACTCTGGTCTTTTCTGGCCTTGGAATCTATGAAGAGAAACACTTTGCTATCGTTAGATCTGGTACCTGGAGGAGAAAACTCCTTCAGCAGCTGGCTTCTTTGTCTCGTTCTTACAGTAGAATCCACAATCTCCTAAAGACAGCTTGGTGCAGAGGCTTATAAAAATAAAATATATGGAGATATACCTATCTCATAAAACTGGAAGGGACCCAAAAGGTCATTAAGTCCTGACCCCTGCCTTCAGTAGCAGGACCAAGTACTGATTTTGCCCCAGATCCCTAAGTGGCCCCTTCAAGGATTGAACTCACAACCCTGGATGTAGCAGGCCAATGCTCAAACCACTGAGCTATTCCTCCCCCTGACCAAGCCTGTGGGGGTGGTATAACTGGAGTGCTGTGACATCATGGGATCATTACAATAACAGCTGGGAAAGGACATAGGGTCAGCAACTCCATCCTGCTGTCAGGGGCCAGCCTACTCCCTACAGGATATTCCCTAGGGCTTTGTCCTGCAGTGATCCAACCAACAAGGCTTCCGCCCCTTCCCTTGGGCGAATCCTCTCCCCTAGGAGATGCTGCACTTGAGAAGCTTGGCTGGACACTCCGTCTAGGTTTCTCTTAATGTAATTTCCTACCTCCCTTTGTATAAGCCTAAATTCCTCTTCCTCCTCTACAGCAGCTCCCTCCCTCTGCTGGAGGAAGGTTGTTAGATCCCCACTGTAGGCATTACTTAACTGACCCAAAGTCTTGCCCTGTCGCATCTACCCTACACCACTGGAGTTGGCGTTGTGTGGCTTTGGCACACATGGCGGAGCAGAGATCAGGGCACAGAACAAGGACAGCATGATATCAAAGGGCTCGTTATCCACCTGCACGTGGTGTTATGCCCAGGTGCATTTGGCCCAGTGAGATTTGTGGGGCAGAGGTTAGAACAGACCCTACTAGTTCTTGTCCTGTTTTCTCATGGGCTGAGTACAGCTGCCCAGGGTTGTTTGTCTAGTTGTGCCAGAGGCAGGGCTCTCCTGGGTAAGGCTGGGGTGCAGGAGGGCACGTGACATGGGGGGTAACTTGCCCACCAGGGCCTGTGTTGCTCCTGCTCTCGGGCTGAGCAGATCTAGCTGGCAATGGGGTGTCTTTTCGGCCGTACTAGCTGCGCTGCTAACCCCGCTCCATGCAGGCTGTAAATATCTGAGAACAAAGGCTCAGCGCTCCGTTCTCTTCCATCAAGGTGCCAGCACAGAGATCTCAGCACCCAGTGAGATCAGAATCGGGCCCAGGGTGGGAGGTGTCGAGTCTTTCTTCTCTTTCTCCGTTTCCACCACCACCACCACCAGGCTAGTATACACCTGGGGAGTGAGCAGGGTAACTTTATCCCTCTAGTGCGGCCGGGCAATTTATCCATGGAGCTGAGCTCACTCCAGATGCTGCTCTCCTGGGTGAGAGGAGTCGCTGCTGGGGCCAGAGCTTGGGTGAAGCCAGCGCTATAGTCTCCCCTCCCCCATCCTGTGGGGGTAAACCGAATTCAATCCAGTACCTTCCCAAACGCTACATTCCCCATCCACCCACCCCCACATGCTTAGCTCAGGCTGAACAGGAGCTGTGCAATTCTTGTTCCTTGGTCTGTCCCTGTGTGGCCGATTTCCCTGCCATACACACACACGACGACAGGTGTGAGTAAAAGCTGCCTGACTGCATACCCCGCCAACCCAAACCAATAAAAGCACATGAACAGGCAGCTACATTGTTCGATGCCCTTCCTGGCTTCCTTTTTTCAACCACTGTTCCCATTGTCTTGCCACCTGTTACCTGATCTGGGTGAAACTCCAGCTAGCCCGGCCACGTAAGGAGGATTAGCTCTTTGCGTTTAACACTGGCCTGGAGCTGAGACCTTATTTGTGCATGTGGTTTGGGGGAGGGGTCCACTTGTTTGTATTACAGTAGCACTGAGCAGGGCCCCCTTGCACTAGATTTACAGTCCAAGTATAGAGCAAGAGACGACAGGTGCGTACAGCCAGGGAAAGCTCAAGGAAACGCGATGAGGCTGAGCAGTGGGATAGGCAGTGGGCTCAGCACAACAGCTGCCCATGGCTGAATTTTTTTTTTTCCAGGCCTTGTGTCCCCCTCAGACCTGGGGCTAGAGGAACCCAAAGAAGCAGGGGATGGGGGGGAGGGGAGGGACTTTGTAACCTCTCCTCTGCAGACACTCGAGTAAACCCTTTGCTGTGGGAACCATGTACCCAGGTCAACTGGCCTCACTAGTGCTCTTGTGGCAAACCAGCAGCCACCGTTCCCTCGGGGACTAGCAAGACCCTCCCCCCCCCCCAGCTCTATTTCAAATAGGGGGCTCACTGCGGCCTTAAAAGTGGTGCTCCTCTAGAATAATGCCTCGCTCTCCTGTAGTGCTTCTCCTCTTGACTTATTTTCACGACTGCAGCGCCTCGGACGCCCGGTTAGGGAGCAGGATCTCTACGCTCTTTGCAAAGGAGACCCGAATCCTCCTTGTTTTACAGAGTGGGGGGTCACCCAGTAGGCCAGTGGCAGAGCCAGGAATTAAACCCAGGTCTCCTGAATCCTATCTGGTCCCTTTCCACTCTGAGGAGTGAGGCAAAGCATTCACCCATGCTCCACCCCTCTCACTCTACCAGCTCTGCAGCCTTCCAGGCTGCCCCCTGTGTTTCCACTATTTTCAGCCTTAAGGGAGGAGCGGTGCACCCCGCTGCTCACACAGGGAAGGCAGTTTGCACCTTCACAATGCAGGGGCTGCCTCATCCAGGGCAGTCCTATGCTGGGCCTCTGCTTCAAAGATCCCTACGGAGCTTTACAGGAGCGCAGAATACCTCACCCTACCCTGTGCGGGGCTCCTGGGGCAGAGCTGGGCATGCAGGGGGCACAGTCTCTCGGCTAGGGTCATTCCCCAGGGCTGCCATGACCTGCGCTCCCTTCACGGCGGTCATATCGCAGCGCGAAAAGCAAACACACGACCGCCGGCCGGGTGCTGAGTTGAGTTACCAGAGTTCAGCCCTTTTAAGGCCACAATTTCTGCCCAGGCCCGACCCTGCTCCGCTGGGAGCCAAAGGCTGCTGCAGTCTCTTCCCGCTGTGTGTTGTTTCTTTCCTGGGTCTGGCTGATTGCTGGAGCTGGGGTGACTTCCAGCGTGATTCATCATTGCAGAGCTGTCTGCGTGAAGCAGGCATTTATCTCCCATAAAGTGTGGCCGAATCTCCGGCCATGGGAGGGCTTGTATGTGCGGAGACAGGTCTCATTAGTGAGAGACAAGCTGTGAATTTATCTCTTCCTTTTTCTCTGTGGCTTTGGCCAGAGCTGCCTGGGAATGAAAGGCTGGCCCAATCCCAGGGCTCGAATTCAGCCGCTCTCTCATTACGACTCCAAATTGACTCCTGACCCATCCGGACGTGGTGTTCTCAGTCTGCCTGGGTGTAAATTGTTTACATCTTGACATAGGCACTGGTGAGGCAGAGGGGAGAGGTTAATGAGCAGAAATATTAATCGCTAGTTTTGAATCGTCTCTGAACCGAGGGTCCCTTCCCACTCCCATCATAGGCAGTGGGAGTTGATCAAGTCCAACTTTGTTTACACAGAAACTTGACCCGTTTAGTTAAAGTGGTCTAGCTGCTGGTGGGAGGCTCTTAAACTGGTTTGGGACTGGCTTGCATTGAGCGGGGAAGCTCTGGGGGTAGGCAACTGCCTAGATTCCTAAATCACTGATTCAATTTCTGCCCTGGGCCTAGAAGCTGAACAACCATCAGGTGCTCTTAGCTGAGATGAATTTTTGCCAGTTCTCAGCCTTCGTCCCATTGGGCAGGTCCAGACTCAGGCAAGCCCCCACTGCAGCTGGCTGTGACTTCATAGAATATCAGGGTTGGAAGGGACCTCAGGAGGTCATCTAGTTCAACCTCCTGCTCAAAGCAGGACCAATCCCCAAGTAGATCATCCCAGCCAGGGCTTTGTCAAGCCTGACCTTAAAAACCTCTAAGGATGGAGACTCCACCACCTCCCTAGGTAACCCATTCCAGTGCTTCACCACCCTCCTAGTGAAATAGTGTTTCCTAATATCCAACCTAGAGCCCCTCCCCCCCCCCTGCAACTTGAGACCATTGCTCCTTGTTTTGTCATCTGCTACCACTGAGAAATTGCTCCAATCTCAGCAGGAAGACCAAGGTTGAATGAGGCCTGGACACTGAGCGGCTTTCTCTCCGTTAGTGGCATAGTCTCCTGTTCGGGGCTGGAAGGGAAGAAGCTTGCCCTGCTGCTGTGGGAGCCGAGGCTCCAGAACTGCCATTTAGTGGGAGGCTGGGTATGGCGCTGGCACTCCAGAGATGTGAGTTCTAGCCCTGGCACTGCCTTGGACACATCTCTGTGCCTCTACTGCTCCCACTTTTGTCTATTTTGATTGTAAATAGATTCCTGGCAGGCACTGGCTCCGACTGTGCAGCTAGGGTGACCAGACAGCAAGTGTAAAAAAATCGGGGTGGGGGTAATAGATGCCTATATAAGAAAAAGCCCCCCAAATTGGGACTGTCCCTATAACATCAGGACATCTGGTCACCCTATGTGCAGCACCCAATACAATGGGGCCAGGTCTCAGCTGGGGTGGCTAGCTGCCACCAATGCAATCACCTGGCACTTTCCCCACCATAAAATTCACACTGTGGTGTTAAAATCTCCAGCACTGAAATTACACTGTTTTTTTTGTTTTGTTTCGTGTACAGATCTGATACCATGATGGCTATAAACACCTTGACCTTGCCACGGTGCGGTAGAAAGAGACTTCTGAAGACCCAGCTGTGGCCTCCGAGTGCTTGTGTGGCTGATTTTAAAGGGGTGGGAATGGTATCCAGTCCCCTGACAGAGCCTTTTATTTGCTTTGGTCCTGGCTGCAGCAACGTCGCTGTCCTATTCCGCGGCCGGGGAAGAGTCGCCAGCTGCGAGCGTCTGACTCAGCAAAAAGCAGGTACGGTATTGGGGGTTTGACAATGTCAAATTAAATTTCCTTAGGCAAATACAGTATGCAGCAAAATCAAGTGAAGTGCAGGGAGAAATTGAATTAGCTAATTCGGTTAAGGCTGGGTGCAGGGTGTAAGACAGAGGAGGGGCAGCGAGGTGGCAGGGACAGGGTGCATGGTCCATAAGGCTCTGGTTCCTCCTATCAATCCTTTGAAGTCCATTTTGCTCTGTCATTTCACACCAGCTGTGTGTAGGGCCAGGTTGCTGGATCCCGTATGACCTCACACATGCAACTGTACTGGCTGGGATGTGGAACCTTCTGCCACTCACTCCCAGGTTTACGACTGTCTGAGGGTGCAGGTTTGCTGTTGCTTGTGTGAAGTGAGTCTGTGGGCTCTCGGCCTGGAGGAGGAAGCCTTGCCATCCACTCCCCCATTTAATAGCTTAAGAGGCTAGGAGGGACTGTTTAGTTCTGCAGGGTGCCCAGTAACTTGGGGCTGAGCATGATTCGAGTCAGGCCAGAAGCTGCACCTCAGTTGTCCGTCTCGACAGCGGGGCTACGGGATGAAAGCCTGGGCTTTTCACCCTGATGAGAACCTCTCCAAAGTGAAGGCAGACTCGTTGGTGGGTGCCGAAAGCAGGGGAGCCCCTGATCTTGGGAGGGAGACCAGCGTCCTTGCTGCCCACCTTCAAGGGTTTCAGAGCTACCGGCACCACCACCAGGGGCCTAACCAAAAGGCCACATCCAGTGTTCATAAAGCAGGATTGGATAGTACATGCCACTCGTTTGGCTCCAGCTTGGAAGACCCTCTAGGAGGCTCCTTGGGTGGGTTTATTAGGAACTGGATTGAGACCCACCAGGGATAGACAACAGGAAAGCCGTGAGGGGGCAATAGCTGCACTGGTACCAACTAGATACCTCTCCTGTGCTCGTTGGCCTGTTCTGGGTGGTGACAGCCTCTAGCCCCGTGTGGAAAAGAACGTTGCTCTCAGCTGCTGGAGGAAAACCCGAGGAAGCTGAACAGTAGCTGCAGTTCTGCTGCCTGTGCCCTGAGTGTGAACTTGCAGTCCCTGGGTTCTCCCTAGGTTCCCCCCTCCCCCAGGCCTTTCTCTCCACTGCCACGCAGTCAAGAAAGACAAGTGCAAAGTACTTCCCTTAGGAAGGAAAAAAATCAAATGCCCAACTACGCAATGAGAATAACTAGGTAGGCGGCGGGAAAGGGTCCGGGCTGATAGTGGGTCACAAATGGAATGAGTCAGAAATGTGATGCGGTTGCTCAAAAGGCTAATCTCAGTCTGGGGTGTGTTAACGGGACTCTCGTTTGTAAGACGGGGGAGGTAATCGTCCCTCTGTGTTCGGCATCTGTGAGGCCTCACTCGGAGTATTGTGTCTAATTCTGGGTGCCATGTTTTAGGAAAGACGTGAACAACTTGGAGAGAGCAACAAAATGATCCAAAGTTTAGAAAACCTGACCTGTGAGGGAAAAGGTGAACAGGGGACCTGTGCAGGCTTGAGGAAAGCAGACTGATGGGGAACCTAAGAAGTCTTCAAATCTGTTAAGGGCTGTTATAAAGCGGACAGGGGTTAGTTGTTCTCCAGGTGCACTGAAGGCAGGACAAGAGGCAATGGGCTTCGTTTGCAGCAAGGGAAATGTAGGTTAGAGAGTTGGAGAAACTTTTGACCTCTAAGGATAGTTGAGAACTGGAATAGCTCCTGAGGGCAGAAGCTCCCTACAAGTGGGGGACTCACTGGTGCCCAAACCATAGCCCCTTCCATCCCTGTTCCAGCGCCCCTGTCCAAGGGAGGTTGTGGAGTCCCGGTACTGGAGCTTTTAAGAACAGGTTGGACAAACACCTGTCCAGGCTGGTCCTGTCTCAATGCAGGGAGATGAACGGAGATGACCTCTCTAGGTCCAGCCCTACGTTCCTAGGCTTCTGGGCACTCACTCACTTCCAAACGCTTTCCTGCTTTGAAACCCCTTTGATCTGGGCTTTGAAAGGGCACTTAGTGGCGGGAGTGCTCTCGTTCCCTGCTGCAAGAAGGGGTTGTACTTTCAGCTCCTGGCTCTTCCATTGTCTTCAGAGCAGCTACGTGTGTAGGAGTCGGCCCTTGGCCCCTGGCACTTCTGTTCTGCTTTCTCTGCTTTACTTTTATCTGTCGCTCTCGGTCTCGTTTTGATCTTTCCCTGCCCGCTCTCCTGTCTCCTCTTGTCTGACCCGCTCTCTCTGGGCCAGATCCGAGCAGCCTCTTCTCCCCCTGGCCATTTGGTGGGAGCTCGGCCAGCTGCTCAGGATCAGGCCCCCACTATCGTCTGTGCTCCCTGTTTGTCTTGTCCCCACCTCTTGGCTCTTATGAGCCTGGCATTGATTTTAAATAGATCAAACTGACAGCCCTGGCTCCGGCAGCTCTGTTCCATCTGCCACCTAGCCAAGCCTGCCTTCATCTGCCGTAATTGCTGCACCTGAACAAGGATCCCAGCCAAACCATGCACTCTGGCTCTGTTAGCCATGGTGGGGGGACAGGGATGCTTGTGTACCACTCCCTTTTCCCCAAAATTCAGTGTCCTGGGCCTTGCTGGATCGTGGATAACATGTGAGTGCCAACGCACTGCCCCTCTATCGCACCTCCTAGACCCAGCCACACCCATCCCCGTCTCCTGCTGCAATGCAATGATCCTCTGACGTGATCCAGCATTAGTGGACTGCAGCTTCTGACCACCAGCCAGCCTGCCTCACGCACGCTGCAAGGGCCAGCTCCTCTCCCAGAGCCCGGCATACACTCGTGCCTGTCTGTGGTACCTGAGCTCCTCAGTCTCTAGGGTATTTATCCTCACACACCCCTAGGGGCAGGGCAGGGCTGTTTTCCCTCTCTGTCCAATGGGGATATGAGGCAAGCAGAAGCTAAGTGACTTGCCCAGGGTCATGTGGGAAGTCTGTGGCAGAGCAGGAATTGATCCTTGGGCTTTCTTCCGCAGCCCAGGCTAATACCCTGACTACCCCTTCCAACAGCTGCCAATGCAGACTCGCAGGGAGAAGCTGTGTAGCCTAGGGGATAGGAAAACATGAAGACCTGGGTTCTAATCCCTGCTCTGCTGTTGTGTGAGAGTCCTAGCACCTTTTGGTGCCTCTTTCTCCCCCAGGCTTCATTCTTTGTCTTGTCTGTTTCGATTGTCAGCTGTTGGGGCAGGGACTGTCTCGCTCTGTGGTTGTACAGCACCCCGGGGGCTTGATCTCCCGTGGAGCCTTTAGGCCCTGCCGCAAATAAATAACGAGGCTCATGGAAACCAGTGGGACAATCCATATGCTCAAAAACTCTGCTGGATCGGGGCCACCCCCTGCACAATCAGATCCCCTGGCAAATGCACACTTGAGTTGCATGCGCTCTCTCGCTCTCTCTCTCTCTCTCTCTCTCTCTCTCTCTCTCAGCCCTATGTTTCTATGATAGGCAATCCAGCAGGCACACCAAGCAACTCATGCTCACAGGTACACAACACCGCGCCCACACCCTACTTACAAAGACAAAAGGAATACAAGTATGTTCTTTGTCTTTCTCTATCCTTTCCTGAGCTCTTTTTCCTTCCTGCTCTCTCCTGTAGCTCTCTTTCTCACCTCTTTAACCCCTCACACATCCACATTTCACTTGGAAACACTGTTGGCATAAAGCTGTGAGCCCAGAAATCAAACCCCAGGGGAACATAAGGGGAAATCTCCGAAATTGAATTAAAACAGCAGAACTAATGAATGTGGGCTTTCAGACAGTGCCTCTTCATCCAATTAGAGCCTGAGGTTTGGACGAAAGGATTGTGCAAACTGTATAGGCGCACTGTACTGCAGCGGGGTTACAGTGCCCGTCCCTGCAATGCACCTACTTCTGGGGTGGAATGTGGCGGCTGAACAACTTAGTGTGGGAAGGGAATTTCATCAGCCTGTAAGTGGGGAGGCAGAACGCAGCTACCCCAGCTGGAATTTAGCTGGGACACAGGATAACATCCCTTTAAGGGCTTTTTAAATAACCACAACTGGCCACCCCCTTGCTTTGAAGTCTCAGCCCAAGGACAGCATCTCAAAAAGCACAGCGCCAACCTGGGAGATTGATTCAGCACCAGGAGAGCCTCACCTGCGGAGTCCCCCATGCTGGTCCCTGCAGCACAGCACCTTCTAGCACTGTCCTGCGAGAAACGCTGCCCTCACGAGCGCTGTGGGCTCTCCCTCTGAGAGACTTCTAGAATGTCTACACGATGATAAGAAACCTGCAGTCCCGAGTCTCAGGGCGTGGATCAGCTGGCTTGGGCTGCAGCCATAACGCTGCCAGGTAGATGTTCAGGCTGGAACCCAGGCTCTGAAACCTCCCTCCCGCATCATGCAGTCTCAGAGCCAGGGCTCCCATCTGTGCCCGAATGACTACGCGGCAGTTTTATAGCCCTGCAACCCGAGCTCTGTGGCCCAAGTCAGCTGACCTGGGGCTAGGGTGACCAGACAGCAAGTGTGAAAAATCGGGACAGGGTGTGTGTGTGTGGGGGGGTAATAGGAGCCTATATAAGAAAAAGACCCAAAAATCGGGACTGTCCCTATAAAATCGAGACAGCTGGTCACCCTACCCGGGGCCACGCAGTGTAGCCAAACCCTCAGACTAGGCGATCTTGCTCCTGCTTAGAGTATGGCTGTGAGATCGGATCCAGGTGGAAGGAGTGTGAGACCCTGATTTCTCCCGTCTGACAAACCAGAGGATTTCTGTCCTAAACGGCTGTGGCTGTTTAAAACAGCTGCCAGGTGCCACTCTTGAAGTGGCCGCTTTCAGGGGCGGGCAAAGCAATCCCTGTGCAGTACGATACTGAAATTTGGTCTTGGATGGTACACTTCATCCAGTCCTCTCCTTAACTCTCCTCCATCCTTTCAGCTCACTGGGCTCTTGCTGCATCCCCTCCCCTAGGCAGGCTTAATGGGACTTCTCGTTGGTGCCCAAGTGAATTGCATAGCAAAGCTTGGCTCTAGGAAAGAGGTGAGTTG